ATTGTTATGCGGTTACTTAGCCAGCGTTTAAAATAAGTTGAAATTAAATGTGCAGATAAATTTTTAAAAATGTAACCAACGCACTGTGGGTCAGAAGACTATGAAATTAAATTTTCAACTAAAATATGTGTAGGCAGATTTAATATAGCCCAAATTATGTATTCATAATCATTCCAAACATTATAATTTACTTTTTGAACCGACGAGAGTACAATGTAATGAAAAATATGTTAAAAATTCTTTTTTTAAATGCAACTTTTAAATTTTTATTTCAGAAATATATATAGGAATTTTACCTTACTGTTACATTTTTATCAGAGTAATTAGTGTTAAATTATAGTAAAATTTTTCAATTTGTTGGATTAGTTAATACTCTTGACAAACTTACAATTTATATCTTATCATTTGACATTTTAAAATGTTTGAATGACTTTCGAAACTAAGTTCCAAAAAGTTCCACTAAGTAATTAGCTAAACTTTTTTTGGTTGTCTTCTTTGATGTTTTTTCTTTTGAAAAAACCTGCCCCATTTTGCCTGTATTGCAAAGGTGGACTAAATATACCGAAAAACAAAAATTATGTTTTTTTTTCATGTTATCGCTTTATTTTGTAATTAATTAGCGTTATTTTGTAATATTACTTCGAAAATATAATTTGCTTTTCATTTTTAATATAAAATTATGAAAATTATATTTTCATTGCTATATTTAATTATTTAAACGTACTATATTATTATTTTTATTTTTGCTCGCCATATTTCAGCCGCCATTTTGTTTTTTTTGGTTATTTTTAGTGTATTTCAAAATTTCAACTATGAATTCAATTTATCTGCACATAAAAACCCCCAAATTTTGAAACAAATTTCATCGAAATACAAATTTTGACCATGAAACCTTGGATGCTGGCCCGCTGTGCAAAGCTATCTATTGTTATCCTTTCAGTTTATTAATGATCATCCCTTAACTAAAAGTAAATCAGTAGTTTTTGATGCATCAGTATTTTACGCGTCTTAAATTTGGACTGGAATTTCGTAAGACTATTTCCTTCATCGTTTGTAGGTATAAAGTTTTATTGTGTAAAAAAAGGAGGATTCAGAAATTTCATTCATTCTTTACTTTTCTACCCGCACAAACCTTGAACATAAAAAGTGATGCCTTCAAACTTTTTATGTTCCACTTGGGCTTTTTTTATGCTCTTTGTGTATTCAATGAAGTCTTTTAAAGGCCATGCTCTCCTACAAGTCCTCAGGTGAAAGTTGTAGATATTCCTTTTTATGTCCATTAGCTCCTGTTTAAAAACCGGTAGTAAAGTATTGATGTTTCAAATAGGTTTATTTCTTGGCTAACATTTGTTCTGGGAAGGAAATAGCCATATAAACCTGACACATAAAATAACTTTTATCACCCGATGTATGAGGAAATAAAAGGACTCTCGGGCAGTTTAATAGTGATATATTGAAATGATATCTTGAAATAATTCATGATGTAACAAATAAAATAGAGCGCAAAATATTGCATTGATTTTATACATTTATGAAATAAGTTTTTTTTTAAATAATAATAACACACAAATTTTTTTTTCATAAGAAATTTATCTAGTGTATTTCGTACAAAATTGTGCAACCTATTCTATTTTGTTAAACCTGTACAAAATCATTAATTTTAAAACATTTTCCTGAGATAAAAACAACTGTTGATTTCTAACCTTATTTAAATTCAAGTTCTGATAAAAAAATCTTAACAACTTAGGAAAAAAAAATTTTTGTCACATATTTGTAGTTTCAGAAAGCTACTTCATTTGTTATTGAAACTGTTGCAGATAGCTTAACTTGCGGACGTCCATTCAATAGTTAGATGCGAGCATATTGATATCTTTCGCATAGTTGGCCATTTCCCATTTAATAGAATACTCTATGAACTCTTCAGTAAATATTCACTTCAATGCCGTTAGTTTTGCAATAGTCATGTTTATTTAATTTCAATGTTATGTTTTAATAATAACTTATGTAATTAATCTTAGATTGATCTATCAAGAAACATAGAAAAAATTATTCCATATACTGAGTCTCGTAATTTTTCTAATGTTAGATAATAACACTTCTAGGCATCCTAGAAATTTTCTAATTCTACTGTAAATACTATGATCTTTTTTGATGCTATATTATTTTGCAAAATTTAGCAAATGATTTTAACACTAGTTTTAATGCTAATTTATTTTCATTTCTCAAGATTTTAAATTAGATTTAAGAATTAGGTAATCATTAAAATAAAAAGAAAATTCATGTGTTCTGACTAGTATTCTTTTTTATTGAATGGTAGTCAGTAATCTTACTTTGAAATACACTGCTCAAAGCAATTAAAGGATAAGTCTTATTGTATAAAATAACGGTATTGTATAAAACAATTGTATTACAACTTATTGTATAAAACAATTTGACGAAGACGATGCTTTAGCTGGAGCGAATTTGATTTGGCATTCAACTTAATGTAAGACAGAGCAGAACAGAATGATTTATACTCAGTAAGCGTGTTGTTTCAATTAGTGCGATGTCTCAACGAAGTCATTTAACAGAAGATTGAAGAGTTGTTGGCCGGTTAGAGGGGGGGGGGGCAAACACAAGCTGAAGCTGCCGAAGCCATTGGAGTTTCACTATGTGTGATTTCCAAGGATCAAGAACTGATTTTTGGACATTGCAAATGCAGACCCAAGATCAGGGCAAAGGCATAGACCTGCAACAACTCCCAAAGAAGACCATTATTTAACGCTAACGGCTCGGAAACACCGAAATACGAATGCCACTTCTTTAACAACACCTTCGCTACTGCCCTCCACCCCAGTTTTGATTCAAACTGTCCGAAACTGCCTTCGCCCTGTAGGTCTGTATGCTCGCCGACCAATGGTGTGTGTCACTATAACAGCAAGGGGCCGTCGCGTCCGCAAGGAGTGGGCAACAGAGCATGTGAACTGAAGGAAAAATTAATATCGCAATATTCTTTTTTTTTTGATGAATACCGTTTTTCTATTCATCCTGTTAATCGCCCTATTTTTATCTGGAGGGAACGTGGCATCCTGCATTCGTGCACGAAAGTGTAAGATTTGGCGGTGGGGGAATGATGGTCTGTTCTGGTATCTCCATTGATGGGTGCACCGCCGATCTCCATATTATTCGAAATGGTGCTATGACCGGCAGCCGATACAGGGATGAGATCCTGAGACCTATTGTAGTCCTTTACACTGTAGCAATTTGAGATGACTCCAAGTTAACGGGCGATAATTGTTGGCCACATCGTGCTAACTTGGTGAATGATTTTCTTTTGGAGGAAGGAATCATATGAATGGATTGGCCAGTGTGTTCTCCGAACATGAACCCAATCGAGTATTCTCCTACCACTCCCACAAACTCTTCTAGAACTGGAACTATGCCCCCTTCTAAAAACAATTTATTTTAAGGAAACATTTTTTAATCTGTTTTTCTCATTTGCACAAATGTTTTTTTTCCTTTTGCATCTAAATATCCAATAAAAGCATTTTTTCTGGCAAATAAATCTCATTTTTACGTCTTATGGCCTACTACGTCTGTCGAAAACTATCAATCATTCACATAATTCTTCAGGTGGAAGTTCAGCTCACAACCTCAATATCCTTCAATTGTTTTGAGCAGTGTAGTATTTTGCTATCAGCTGTGATCCGTTTTCAAAAATTTGATTATTTCTCATTTGTTTGATTGTACTTAAAGTAACTATGTATTTGATTTAATTGTCACAGTATTTGATTTAATTGTCACTTAATTATTAATGCAAAATAAGTGAGTTTTAATAAGTTAGAAATAAACTATAATTACAAATATCACTGTGATTTTAGAAATATTGCGCACTAAAGACCTGATTTTTAAGGTTTGCAAAACCCCAGCTTAAAGCTAACGCTAACCTCTGATTGGCCAATTTGTGAGTTTGACAGTATACGTCACGAACGCTCAGCTTGAACAACTGCCGTCCAAATCAACTGCAGTTGGATTACAACGTTACGTTAACGACATAAAGCAATGGAGGACAATAGTCAACAGCACATTAAAATCAGCCAAGATTTTGATTTCGAGGAGAAATTAATCTCTGAAATTAAAAAGCGACTTAATTTGTATAATGTAAGATCGAAATCTTACTAAGATGCCGTGCTTAAAAACAATCTGTAGTTACAGATTGAAAAGGAGACAGGAATTGCAGGTTAGTACAAGTTTTCTATTATATACTTGCATGCATATATTATTTATTTTTATGAACAGCATGTATTATTTATCTTTATGACAGCAAATATGTATTTCTATTATAAGAAGACCCCTTTTTTTAAATATATATTACTTAAAAATTTATTTAATCATGTATATAATATTGTATCTACATGAGATTGGGAGCAGTCAGATTATGAATTAAACAGCAAGACATTCAAGGTTCATTGGTTATTTACTTTAGTTTTTACAAAAGAGGTCTAAAGAACTCAAATCAATAGTAAGGATAAATAAAATTTTCTAAGACAATTATAATCTAAATATTTGTATAAGCAAATCATAAAACATTTTAGGGATATTTCTGTATCGTGATCTGTTGAGCCAACTGCAATCATCTAAGTGCCTTTGGCGTGAAATCGGTTGCGTTTATTATAAGTCTGCATGCTTAGTTAAGTCTGACGCCAAAGATAACAAAAAGGAGAAATGCTAAATTTAAACATAACATTAATGAAATAAAAAACATACGAGAATAATCGAGCAAGTAAAAGCTGAAGAAGAACTTAAAGCAGATTACGAAAAGAGAAACGAAGAGAACAAAGTATCACGATGGTAACGAAGTTTTACGATGATCACATTATTTAAGTTCAGTTCAAAGAGATTACAAAAATATTTTGAGATCTTAAAGTTTGCAGGTTGGCTTGAGCATGAACTTTGCTATTCGAACCAAGTACTCTGATTACACCACAGAAACTCCCCCTCTAAATACCGGAGGTATGGAACTAGGGAATTCTAAATTTTACACGTCTACCACTGCTGATAAACACTTGAGGTTGAGATTCGAATTTTGAAGAATTCAAAGGAATGGCAGTTTCCGAAAAGGCAGGCTTGAGACGATCTATACTAATAGTAGCTGTACGGGATCCAATTTTTAAAGTGAAATGTTTAACTTGTCGAGAGAGTACCTGGAAAGGTCCGTCGTATGGAGGGGTCAACGGAGGTTTGACCCAATCTTTTCGAATGAAAACTTGAGTAGCATCCTTTAAGGCTGGATGCACAAAACAGGTTTGACGAGAATGATCAGAAGCAGGAACGGGTGTAAGCTTTTCCATTGTCTCCCGCAAGTGTTCAATGAAAGTAGACTCTTTAATGGGTTTTGTGGAAGGGTTGAAAAATTGGCCAGGTAGGCGTAAACCTGTGCCGTAAACCATTTCTGAACAGGAACCTTTCAAATCACCTTTAAATGCTGATCTGATTCCTAGTAAAACGATAGGAAGAGTCTCGGTCTATCGAAGTTTGTTGTGGCACATTGCTTTGAGGTTCTATGCAGGCGTTCGATCATACCATTCGCCATAGCATGATATGGCGTGGTACGTATTCTTTTTATTTCCAACATGGGGATAGCTTGGCAAACAATTTTGACGTGAACTGTCGGCCTTGATCACTTGTTATTGCAATTGGTACTCCAAACCGGGCAATCCAATTAGTAACGAAACATTTTGCAACAGTTTCAGCAGAGATGGGTATGACTTCAGGACATCGAGTATAACAATCAATGCAGGTTAGTAAGTAACGATAGCCTTCTGAAGGGAAGAGGTCCAACTAAATCGATATGGATGTGTTCGGAACGGTGATCAGGCAACTTGAAACTCAGTTAGGGACTGTTGGTATGTCTTTGAATTTTCGATTTTTGACAGTTTATGCAAGAACGTGTCCAGTGTGCGATATCTTGATTTATTGATGGCCAGATAAATCTCTGCTTGATCAGTACTCTAGTGCTATTGATACCTGGGTGTGAAATACCATGCAAACTGTCAAAAATAATCTTTCGATAATTGACAGGCACGTACGGTCGTTTGACACGTCGCAGTAGAGGAAAACGTTCGGCTGAACTTCCATTTTCTGTAACTAAAGTGACGACGAGGAATGTGCTAATAGGTTCTGTAGTTCCTGGTCACTCTGTTGAGCTTTGACAATATCTTCCAGATTTGTAGTAGCCAGGCAAACATCGTTTATCCTAAACAGGGTATCAGCTACCACAGTGTCAGCTCCAGACACATGCTTAATGTCTGTGGTATATTGGGAAATGCAGTCGAGTTGTCGCGACTGTCTTGGCGAACCAGTATCATGCTTTTTCCTAAAAGCGTATACCAGTGAACGGCGATCTGTGAAGACAGAAAAAGATTTTCCTTCAACTGAATCTCTTGAAGTGTCGTACGGCAGAGTAGATGGCTAATAATTCCCTATCGTAGGTACTATACTTCTTTTCAGCTGGAGTTAACTTTCGTGAAAAGAAAGTAATAGGTCGTGAACTATCTAACGTGTGCATTTGTAAGACTGCGCCTAAGGAAACTTCTGAAGCATCGACTGTAATGGTGATTGGGTGGGCTGAAAGAAAATATGCCAATGTGGCTGAATTGGCGCCATCACGCTTACACTTTTCGTAGGCAGATATAGCTTCATGAGTCCAATATACCAACCTATTATCATTTTTTTAGCATTTTTAAGAAAATCAAGAAGTATAGCTTGGGTTTGTGCAACATTAGGAATGAAACGGCGATAGAAATTAAGCTTTGCCAAGAATCTTCTTAACTCAGATATTGTTTTAGGTTTTGGCAGGTTTAAAATAGTCTCAATTTTGGCAGGGAATGCTTTAAACCTTTCAGGTGTGGTTAAGCAGTCCAGAAAAGAAACAGAATTTTGGCCTAAGACACATTTAGAAGCGTTTAAAGTTAAACCGTGTTCAACCAATCTTTGAAATACTAGTTTAAGGTGTACTTTGTGTTCTTTTTCATCTGTTGAGGCAACTAAAATGTCATCAAAATAGGGTATACAGAAATTTAATCCTGACCATACTTGATTTATAAAGTGCTGGAAAGTTTGGCCTGCATTTCGCAATCGAAATGGCATAAATACATATTCGAATAAACCAAATGGAGTTGTTATTGCTGACTTTGGTATATCCTCAGGGTTAAAGGAATTTGGTGATACGCTCTACATAAATCTAAACAAGAAAATATCTTCTTACCTTCCAGCAATTGAGTACAATCCTGAATGTAGGGTACGGGATATCTGTCGGGAACAGTAACTGCATTCAATCTGCGATAGTCGCCACATGGTCGCCAGTCACCATTCGCTTTTCTGACCATATGTGAAGGACTAGAGCAAGGACTTTTAGACGGGCGTATAATTCCCAATGACATAAGATAGGAAAATTCTTTTTTAGCTGCTTCCAGAAGTTCCGGCTGCAATCTTTTAGGTTTAGCAAACACAGGAGGGCCTGTTGTCTCAATGAAGTGAGAAACCAGGGCATTTTGTTTCTGTTTACCTAAACAACAAGAATTTGTCAATGTTGGAAACTCCGCCAAAATTTTCTTATATTCTGTCAAAGGCTCAGACAAGATAGTTAAATTAAAAGTAAAGTCTTGGTTTTGAACTTGGAACCCGGATGACGAAAGTTTCGTATTGGCATCAATCAAACAGTGTCAAGCATCGACCAGCAAATTGAAATTTGTTAAAAAGTCTATACTAAGGCTACTATACTATGAGAGCTGAACTATCAACTAAATTGGAGCAAACTAGTTCGCAAGTTAACGTTATGTTAGTATTAGCTCGAAAGTTTGAAGATTATTTGAATACCGGAAATTATTGATATGGGTGGTTGTGCGGGAGTAAATTGCAAAAATAGTTAAAAAAAAAGGCTTTCGCATGTTCAGATTTCCTTCAAATGTGAAAAGAAAGAAGAAATGGATAATAAATTGCTGAAGATACAACTGGCAGCCTGAAAGTGGAGCTCGCTTATGTGAGGTAAATACTCATTTATTTATAATTTATTAGATTTATTTACTTATATATGTAGTATATAAACGATATTAAGTTGTTAGAATTTTTTTTAAGGTTTGTTTTCGTTAATTGTTTGAAAAAAAATATAAGCGAAGAACTTGTAGGGTTACTTTAATTGTTCAGTTTTAACTATGCACCAAATAAAGGAATTTTCATTGAAAATTGCATTTATTAAGTATATATTTATTTAAAATATGACTTTTAAACAACATTTATTGATTTATTTAACAATTTTAAGTGTTTATCAGCAATAAAACTAATAAATAAAGGCAAGAGATTGGTCTGAATAAGTATTCGCCAAACTTATTTCATGATCGCCAAGTTTTGTTTATGTGAAAAACAAATATTTACCTGTTTTTTATTGTATTATGTTTTATTTCACTAAGATCAAGTAGTTACTCTCTTAATCTTGGCTAATTTATGGTAATATATCGCCTAAAATTCAAACGGTTTTCATTTATCATAAGAAATCTATTTAATATGCGATCTTTCAAATGTTTTTGGGTCATCAATGATTTTTTTTCTTGTTTTAAATTGCTGAATTAATTAGTTTATCTGTTAGAAAATTTCATATGAGTATGTTTGAAAATTGCAAAATCGATTTTTTTTAATGTGATTTAATTTAAGTATGAAAATAAAAATAAGCATTCTAAATATTTTTGCAGGTTCATTTTGAAGAATATCAACAAAAAATAAATAAAAAAGATGGAAGCATTAAATTAAGACCTGATGCTATTCCAACAATTTTCAATGCTCCAAATTCCTTGAAAATTCCTCAAAAACGACTGAAAGGAATAGGCTGTCCAAAACCTGGATCAATTTTAGATAAGAATGAATCTAATGCAAGTATAAATTTATCAATTCCTCTTCATTTGCTTAATTTTTTATTATTATTATTAAAGAACCAAAAATGCGTAAGAACTATTTCTATCTAGTAATGAATGATATATATATGCAGTAGTGGCCAAAAGTGTGGACACTTTTTTTTGAAAGTTTCATGTTTTTCAACTTTGTGTGCTTGTAGAATATATTAAGTTTCACTTAAATACAAACGTTTATATATCAAATTTAAGGTAATTTAATGTAGAATTTAAAAATAAATACAGTATTACAATATCTGTATTACAAAAAAAGTTATGCAATTAATAGTAAGATCTATCTTAGATTTGCATTTTTTTAAAGTGATACTTACACAATCAATACTTAGTAGGATAACCCTTAATTTTTAAGACAGCTTCACAGCGTCTTTTTATCGAGTGAATGAGTGTTTCGAGTTCATCTTTCGTAATCACATGGTGCCAAGAATCAATTATGGCTTCACTTAGTTGTCTTTTATTGGATGGACGTTTTTTTCGTACAAGAATTTTCAAACGTCGCCATAAATTTTCAATTGCATTGAGATCAAGGCTGTTTCCTGGCCATGGTAATATATCTATGCCTTTATTTTGAAACCATGCTTTGCATACTTTTGCTGTGTGGCATGGAGCTGAATCCTGCTGAAAAATAAATGGTGCGTTGTTGGAGAAGTCAATGTTTCGTTGTTGGAGAAGTCAATCCCTGATGGAAGGTATCAATTTTGGTTTCAGGGCAGTTTCGATGTATTTTTTGGCATTCAGGATGCCATCAATCACTTGAATTCGGCCCACACCATCTGCAGATATACATGCCCAAATTATGACATTTGTTGGATTTTTAGTACTTGCTTCAATGCAATCAGGATGAAGCGCTTCACCTACTCTACGTCTCACGTATTTTCTACCATTTCTTCCAAAGAGCGATATTTTACTCTCATCACTCCAAATTACTTGCTTCCATTGATTTTCTGACCATTTAATGTGTTTTTTGCCGACTTAACTCGTTTTTCGCTTTGCTTTTGATTTAAATATGGATTTTTCCTTGGAATTCTAGCTTGTAGTCCAAATCCTGATAAGCTTCTTCTTATTGTTCTTGAACTTACTGCAATACCAGCTGCATTCATTTCACATCTAATGGCATCTGATGACATTTTCTATCTTGAAGGCATAGCCAATTAATTTTTCTAACGGTAGTAGCACTTGTGCATTTTTTTCGGCCTGATTTGGCAACTGTCCTGAACCGAAACTGTCCTGAAACCAAAATTGATGCCTTCCATCAGGGATCTCTTCCCCAACAACGAACCATTTATTTTTCAGCAGGATTCAGCTCCATGCCTCACAGCAAAAGTATGCAAAGCTTGCTTTCAAAATAAAGGCATAGATATATTACCGTGGCCAGGAAACAGCCCTGATCTCAATCCAATTGAAAATTTGTGGCGACGTTTGAAAATTCTTGTACGAAAAAA